TTGGCCAGGCTGGTCTTGAATTCCTGACAAGTGATCTGCCCGCCTCAGCCTCCCAAAGTGCTGGGATTACAGGCATGAGCCACCATGCCTGGCCAATGCTCTGCTTTTAAAGACACACCCTAAGACATGAGGAAAGTGAGGCCCGAGGGCAGCAGTTGCTTACCCAAGGTCAGCTAGTAAATGGCAGGCGACAGGATTGGAAAAGCAAGCCAGGGGTTTTTCCATTTCACATCATCAGGTGATCTTCTACTTAGAACTGCTGATCTTCTACTTAGCTTCTCCTGTTGTTTATTTCCATGGAAGAGATGGTAGGGAAGGGACTCAGCAGGCCTAGGGGCACTCACCATGAGCTTTTTCTGTTTGGAAAGGTAGGGCTCAGAGAGCTGGGTCTCCCCTTCATGGTCCAGTTTCATGAGGTCCGTGGTGGCATTGGCTAAATGTCCTGGGGAGAGAATAGGAAAGGTCCCATTCCTCTGATACCTGGCTTGCTCCCCCATCACTTCCCTTACACAAGTTGAAGTAGGTCCTATCCAAACATTGGTCAGAGAGGTAATACTGTCAGCAGCCAACACTTAGGGAGCACTGCAGGCTGTGCCGTAGTGATGGATGCGATCCCATCCTGCCCTGAGCTCAGGCTGGTGAAAGAGACAGACACATAAGGAAATCTCGGCCAGGCACAGTGCCTCACTCCTGTAATCCTAACACTTTGGGAGGCTGAGGTGGGAGGATCACTTGAGCCCAGGAGTTCAAGACCAGCTTGGGAAACATAGCAAGACCCCATCTTTTTTTAAAAAAAAAAAGTTAGCCAGGCGTGATGGTGCACACTGTAGTCCCAGCTACTCAGGAGGCTGAGGTAGGGGATTGCTTGAGCCTGGGAGGTCGAGGCTGCAGTGAGCTATGACTGTACTGCACTCCAGCCTGGGCAACAGAATGAGACCCTGACTCTAAAAAAAATACTGAAATAAATAAATAATACACATCAGCAATATTATAAAATACACATTTTTTAAACATAAAAATAAAAAAACTCTATGGCACAGCATGATTAATCTGTAGGGAAGAATGGGCACAAGGCAGAGGGACCCGGGGGCTGCCTGCCTGGGGCACAAGGGGCTGAGAGGTCTCACAGAGGAGGAGGCTGTATGCTCGAGGACGAGTAGGAGATGCCAGAAATCGATGGACCCGACCTAGACCTGGTCATCTTCCCTGCCTCCCTGCTTCTCCCCTGCATTCTTCCCGAATTGCAGCATCCCCTCCCCCACACAAAGCCCAGCCAGATGCCTGGGATTCGCTGTCAGCTCCTCCCACCACCTCACCCCACATCAAGTCAGTCCCAGGTCCTGTTGATTCTTCCTCCTCCATCTTGCTCATATTTTCTCACGTTTAACGTCCTCTGTTTAACCCTCTGACTATCTTAGTTTAGACCCCATTCATGTTTTACCTGGGTGATTTAACCCACCCTCTGCCACCTCCCCTCTCTCCCTTACAGGCCCTTCTCCCCACCCCTGCCAGAGATACCTTCTTCACACACTTGACCATGCCACTCCCTGTTTAAAATCCATCCCTGACTCCTCACTGCCCTCAGATAACATCCTATTTCCTCAACTTGCCTTTTAAGAGCCTGCAGGATCCACTTCCTCTCCCTCTCACCTGCTCCATTTTTCATTGAGTTTCCTCAACTGTCCCTGTCCTAAGATGTAAATTTCAGCCACTCGACATGCTTGCTGTTCTCTGAATGTGCCAGACCACTCCACACCTCCAGGCTTCTCATACTACTGCTTCTTCCCAAAATAGCCTTATCCTCCTTTCCTGAAAGCCTCCTTCTAGATCCAGCTGAAGATCACCTCCTCCATGAAGCCCTTCCTGATCCTCTAGGAGGTCTGCCCACTCAATGCCTTTGCTTCCCAGTTTATACCTTACAGATTTCTGCCAGGGAATGCAAACACACTAATCAGAGCTGCCATTCACAACTCCGTTAATCTTGCTGTCTATATGAAAAGAGCCCTCCTGGATTTGTGCATTTGCTTGCTGTACATGGAGATTTTGGTGTTAATGTAGTTATCGCTGAATATGTATGTCTCCCTCTAACACTTGAGCTTCTGGAGAGCAGTGACTATGTCAGATTCATCTTTGTTCCCTTAAAACCCAGCACAGACCTGGCACAGAGGAGGAGCTCAGTGAGTATTGAATGAATGAGTGAATGAATGAATGAATGAATGAGTGAGTGACTTAGGTTATTTAGCTTCTGTCCTCTGAGATTTCACCACCCACCGCCCATCTCCTATCCTGGCACAAATCCCAGTAAACACACTCCCAGCTCGTTCAGGTCCAGGGCTATATTAAGGCTCATTGATGTTTTATGAATGTGAAGGTCAAGGACAGCATCTTCTTTCTTGCCTGCCACCCAGTGCTGCCCATGTGGCTGGCTTTAGACTCCAGGAGGGCAGGCCAGCCCAAGAGAAGACCTGAAGCTGATTAGGGGGTCACTGCAGGCTGTCTTCTACTCCTTCTGCACTTTGGGACCTCCCTCCCCTCGTCCCCCAGCTGGGCTGGAACCCTGAGATCCTCTCTGCCTCCTCAGAGAAAGACGGGGGTCGGCAGGGGGAGGGAGAGGGCTGGGTCTGCTCTGGACTCCCTCTGCCTTCTAGGCACCTTCAAATGGCCCAGGGCAAGATTGAGGGAGTACTCCTAGCCCCCAGAAGCACTTGGGGACTGCCTCCGGGCCTCAGTCAGGCCTCCACCTACCAACAGCCAGGGCTTGCCCCGTTCATTCTTCCCTCAGAGGAGTGATCTTCCTAAAGTGCAGATTTGACCATGTCACTTCCCATCACTGTCTCTCCGCTGCTCTTTGGATAAAATCCAAATTCTGCCAGACCTCCTCCCCAGACACACACCACGACCATTTCCACCCCACCTTGGGCTACACTTGCACCACACTGAACTTCCCCTGGCTCCCCAAACACACCACACCCTGTCTTACTCCAGAACGTGAAATAATTCTCCCTCTTCCTTCCCTTCTACCTGCTACACATCCTTGGTCGTTGCTGCATTTTGGAAGCTTTCTGTGGCCCCAGAGGCTGGGGCGGGCACGTGTATGTCCACAACCTCCCTGATCTCCTGCTCATAACACTGTTTGGCACCAGAGTAAACATTTTTAAATGAATTCATTTTTGAACAGGTTATACATGTATATTGTTAAAATTCAAAGAATGTTGAAGAAGATACTATAAAAGTAAATCTCTGCCCTCTCCAGCTGCAGTCTCTTAGTTCTATTCACCAAAGACAAAAACTATTGGCAGCTTCTGTGTATCCTTCCAGAAATACTCCTTGCAGTGCAAGCATCTGTGTGTCCATTTAACCCCCTTCTGAGTACTAATGATAGCACACTAGATTTTTTTTTTTGACCTTCACTTTTTTTCCACTCACTAATCGATCTTAGGGAGCATTCCATACACCTATTAATTTTTTAAAACATCTGCACAGTATTCCATTGTATGGAAGTACCCATAATTTATTTACCCGGTTCCCAATTCATGACGGCTGGGTTATTTCCAGCGATATTCTTGCTCTTGCCAACTATGCTGCAGTGACTACCTTTGCACATACTTCTTGGTGCACATGTTCAAGTGTAACTGCTGGGTAATCGCCAAGATGGGGGCTATGTTATGTTTGACATAGAGTGCCAGGCTGCCCTCCTGAGAGCTTGTGTAAATTCACTTAGTCCTGCACTGCCATTGCCTGGTGACTTGTCTTTCCCTCCATGGAACTTGACCCTGGGATGGCAGAAGCTGTCTATTCCTGTTTGTTCCCAGTCCCCTGCCCAGGGTCTCTTAAATGTTGTTGAGGGGGCTGTTGCTGGGAGCTGGATGTGTAGATAAATCCTGACTCTTGGTCACACACAGTGGCTTATCCCAGCACTTTGGGAGACTGAGGCGGGCAGATCACCTGAGGTCAGAAGTTCAAGATCAGCCTGGGCAATATGGCAAAACCCCATCTTTACCAAAAATACCAAAAATTAGCTAGGCATGGTAGCATGTGCCTGTGTTCCCAGCGACTTGGGAGGCTCAGAGAATCACTTGAGACTGGGAGGAGGCGGTTGCAGTGAGTCAAGACTGCACCACTGCACTCCAGCCTGGATGACAGACAGAGACTCTGTCTCACCAAAATAAAGAAAAAGAAAGAAAAAATTCTAAGTCTTGTTCAGTGGCAATGGTTCTCAAGGGACAGGCTGAGTTCTGCAACTGACACCTCCCGCAACCCTGCCTTTGAACGTTAGCCACGTTCCTTTGAGGGGAAGAACAGGACCATTTACCGAGCACCTATTATCTACTAAGAATCTTTAGGTGTCTTTTGGCTCTAGGACCCCATGGTAATTATTCAAAGCCTAGACTGTGGTCTGTAAACAGCTGCTGAGGGATTATCTGATTTAATCCAACACCCATTCACCGGGTGTCAGACCTTCGATCTGAGACCCCGCTGGGGGCCTTGCCACATCTGGGCAGCCTTCCTTGCTAATCCTAGCCCTGAGTTCATTCAGTGTCCTTGGCCACCAACCACAGCCCTGACTGTCTAAGGCTGAAACTCATGTGGGGAGAACAAACCTTGTGGGGACAGACAGCCCTGTAGTCTCTGTATGGGAGGGCAGGGCAAGAGTAGGCGGCAGGGGAGGAGGATGGGAGAGAGACTGGCAGAGAGGGAGAGAGACATATTCTGTTAGAAACTAGGTGAATGAGATGGAAGGCTGGGAAGGCGGGGTGACGGGGCTGCAAGCAAGAGGCAGAGAGAGACAGCAAGAGAGAGAGAGAAAGACCAGCAGAGTCAGGAACCAACACAAAGAACTCAGAGAAAGGCAGGGACAAATGGAGAGTGCAAGAGGACAAACGGGTAATACAAGAGAAAGGAAGAAGGGGAGGACGGAGGGAGAGAGGGAGGGCTTCCTTTGGAAAAAGGAGGGGCAGTGAAGGGAGAAAGCAAAGGGGCTGTCTCGCCCCGGCACTCACTGCGGATCTCGGCTGTGGCATACTTGGGGATCATGGAGTCGGTGGTGAGCTCCGGGTGCAGGATGCAGCCGTGCGTGTAGGCGTCCATGGGCAGTGCGTCCAGCAGCTCCCGGTACTGCAGCACCCGCGCGTGCTGCAGGCTGCCCACCTCGGGCATCAGGGCCACCACGTGCTCTGTGGGCACCGCCAGGGGATGGGCAGGGCAGCCAGAGGTCCCTGCCCCGGCCACCTGCCCCCAGCATCCCTGAGCCCCAGGATGTCTCCATCGAGAGGCCCCGGGCCCACCCATGCTCGGGCTTGGCTGCTGCCTGACAGGGGATCCTAGTGGTGGCCCAGCCACCTCTCCTCACTGGGCTCTGCCAAGCTGTTCTTAAGGGGTAGCTCCTCTCAGCTCCAGACTTGCTGCCAGGTGGGGGTCTAGGCCCAGTGTTGTGGGATTCAAGAGAAGCTGCAACCTAGGTGTGCAACACTTGGGTCCCCTTGACTTTTAAACGTTGGCAATCAATTCACATTCTTTTAAAACAGTGCACACCTGGGCCCTGATGCCCTCCCAATGGCTGAGTCTCTTCGATGGGCAGTGAGCTCCTGAGCCTGAAAAGTGCCTAAGTGGGGAGAGGACGGAGGGCTCTGCGGGGTTCTGGAATGCTGGGCCCTTCCCCGTCTGCAGGGTTCTGGGGTATCTGGCCCTCCCCTGTCTCAGGGTTCTGGGGTGTCTGGGCCCTCCCCTGTCTCAGGGTTCTGGAGTATCTAGGTCCTCCCCTATCCATGGGGTGCTGGGGTATCTGGGCCCTCCCCTGTCTATGGGGTCCTGGGATATCTGGGCCCTCCCCTGTCTCAGGGTTCTGGGGTGTCTGGGACCATGTCTCTAGGTTCCTAGAGAATCTATGTTCCAGAGGGAGCTGGTCCCTGCCCTTGCTCTGGATCCCCCTGGAGGATCTGGACCCTGTCTGTGGGGACCTAGAGGGAGTTCTGGGGCCACTATGCTGAAGGGGCCGTGCCTGTGACTGCATAGCTCTGGAGAAGGGGCTGTAGCCCCACTGCTTCTCCGGGGCTGTCTGGGCTGTGCTCTTACAGTACCAGGGGAGGGGGAGGTCTCTGGGGTCCTTATGGATCAGTAGCATGCCCATGGCTCTGGGGGTCTTGGGGGGATCTGAACCCTGCCCGTGGCTCTGTGGCTCGTTTTTGGGGAGACTGGGCCTTGCCCATAGCCCCAGTGAATTTCCCAGACTTTCCAAAGTTCTGGGACCCTGTCAGCCTGTGTGGGCCCCTGAGGATCTGTGGTGTGGAGCGGGTCCCGGGTGGGGAGGCAGCTGTACCTCCTGTGAAGGTGCGCTCCACGTAGTCAATGATCTGGTCATAGTCGCTGATGATGTTGTCGCGGTGGATGATGACGGGCACCTCCTCGCCCAGGTTGAGCCGCATGAACCAGGGCTCCTTGTGCTCGCTCTGCGGCAGGCTCACGTCCCGCTCCTCACACACCAGGCCCTTCTCAGCAATCACCAGCCGCACCTGCAGGCGCCAGGGTCAGAGCGGGGAAGGCGGGAGGACACAGGGGACACTTTGCCCAGGTGGGGTGGGGGTGTGCAGGGAGGGAGGTCAGAGGTCACACACAGGAGGGGACACTGTTGCTTTCAGCCCATTCTTGGGCACCTGGGTTTGGGGGGATATCTCCCGGGGGTGTGTGCCTGGTGGAGGGAGGAACGCAGTTCTGCTCGGGGGACAAGGGGCAGTGCTGCCTGGTAGCTGAGAGGTTGGATTTGACAGCTGGACACACCCGGAATAGGATTCCTGGCTGTGTGAGTGTGGACAAAGTCCTTTCTGAGCCTCAGTTTCCTTATTTTAAAAATGGGAGTATTAACAGTACCAACCCAGTGTGTGGGACTAATAGTTGGCACTCACTTTGTGGTCATCGGTATCACAGTTGAATGCTCAGCCTGGCCCCTAGGAATGGGTGTGGCCAGGAAATTCACAGAAACTTTTTTTTTTTTTTGAGACAGTCTTGCTCTATTGACCAGGCTGGAGTGCAGTGGTGCGATCTCGGCTCCCTGCAACCTCCACCTCCTGGGCTCAAGCAATTCTCCTAGCTCAGTCTCCCGAGTAGTTGGGACTACAGGCTCCTGCCACCACGCCCAGCTAAATTTTTTTTTTTTTGGAGACAGAGTTTTGATCTTGTTGCCCAGGCTGGAGTGCAATGGCGTGATCTCGGTTCACCACAACCTCCGCCTCCTGGGTTCAAGTGATTCTCCTGCCTCAGCCTCCCGAGTAGCTGGAATTACAGGCACATGCTACCATACCCGGCTAATTTTTGTATTTTTAGTAAAGATGGGGTTTCATCATATTGGCCAGGCTGGTCTTGAACTCCTGATCTCAAGTGATCCACCCACCTTGGCCTCCCAAAATATGGGGTTGAAGGTGTGAGCCACCACGCCCGGCCAGCTTTACTTCTTTGTGCTTCAGTTTCCCCTCCTGTCCAATGGGAGTCCTATAGCAATTGCCTCGGAGGCCCATTGTGAGGATTAAGTGCATTAGTCCCTGTGGAATTGTGCCTGGAACACAGTAGGGGTAACGTGTCTTAGCTGCTGGGATGAGGGCAGGTTTTAGAGGCAGACAAACCTTGACTTGGAAGCCTAGCTCTACTGCTTATTTGCTGTGTGACCTTGAGTAAGTCACTTGCGCTCTCTGATTTCTAGCTTCTGTGAAGTGAGGAATGCAAGCATGAGGTTGAAATGGGGTGTTGTGGACAGAGCCCCAGCATAGAAGGTTAATACATGAGTTCTAACATCACTTATTACACACACACCACGTACACACTCTGGGGTGTCATAGAGTACTTCATGTCCCACCCTCACAGTGAACAGAAGCATCTCCTCCTGTTTGGTAGATTGTGGGAAGGGAAAGGTAGCTTACCCTGAAACACTCAACATCCATTCACAGACTTATTTGCTCCATTAGCCAAGAGCAGATCCTATAGCTGGAGCGCATGGTGCAGGTAGAGGCCCTGGGCTAGGACGCAGGGATTCAAGTCCTCATCTTGGATCTGCCATAGCAATGCTGTGTGACCTTAGAGCTATCGCTGCCCCTTTTTGAGCCTCCTTTTTCTGATCAGCAAAACAAGGGGGCTGGATTCAGTGTTCACGGAGTGCCCCGCAGCCCTGCTGCAAGTGACACTACTACATTCACAACCATGCAGGAGGCAGGAGACAGGGCTGGCTCTGCCGCCCTCCTCGGCAGTGGGAGGGAGCTGCTGGCTCTGTCTGAGAGAGCGGGAAAGACTGTCTCAGAGAGTGAGCAGCCTGGGGGCGGCATCTGGGTCTGAGTGTGTGAGTGCGTGTGTATGAGTGAGCAAATATGTGTGCATGTCTGTGTGCGTGAGTGTGGGTGTGCATGGACGAATGTATGAGTAAGTGTGAGTATTCAAGGCCTGTGAGTGTAGATGTGAGACTGTGCATGTGTGCACATGTGAGTGTGTGCCTTGTGTGCGTGCATGTGTCAGTGTGAGTGTGCGTGAGTGGGAGAATGTATGCATGTGTATACTTGAGCTCATGGGTGGCCTGTGACCTGGAGAAGCCCAGAGTAGTGGAGACTGGAGTTTGGCTGGAGCAGACAGCCCCCTTCTCTTGTCTTTACCTGGCCCTCCATCCTTCAGGCCAAGCTGGGACCTCTGACTCAGGGGAAACAGAGCCCGAACCAGGCCTTTACCCTTGGTAGGGCCAGACAGTTGGCTTTCCACCTTTGCAGGGCATCTGCCTCCAGAGGCCACTCCTGTGCCCTGCCCTGGGTCCGCCGTGAAGGTGTCAGATAGGGCTGCTATTTGGGGAGGGGACTATCTTTAGAGGCATGATAATCCTGCTTGGAGCTGCTTTGGGGTCACCCTGGCAGGCAGCCAAGGAGACTTTCACCTTTAGCTGAGCTACAGGCCAGAGCCATGTGTCACCCTGTGGGGGAGGGGGACCCAGAGAGGAAGCCAAACCTAAGGGAAGGGCATGCAGCTACCAAGGCTGTCAGCCATCTGTGCCCCCTGGAGGCTGGGCCAGACCTGCGTGGTCACCACTTAGTGTGATCAGACATCAACTATCTCTGGGTGAACGAGCTTCCCTGCGGGTACCTAAAAACCACCCACTGGTGCCTCACTGTCGTGGATCAGGCACTGCCACTCCTCACCCAGGTCCTTGTTTATGTGACGGCCTGCGTTGGTGCCTCGGATTAGTCATTTAGTTGTGGTGTGACTTTATAAAAGACATTCAGCATCTCTGAGCTCAGTTTATTTCACATTATTATTATTTTTTAATTAATAGGCTTTATTTTTAGAGCAGCTTTAGGTTTACAGAGTCAAATGACTTTTGAACATAACACCTCACAGCTTGCAAATCCATCACTTTTCACCACTTTTTACTGAGTGCCTACTATGTACCAGGTCTTGTTAGAAACTCAGCAGTGAACAAAACAAAGATCCCTGACCTCAGGGAGCTGCCATGTTAGTGAGGGCAGGCAGATGATAAGCAATTTGGTTTGTCAAAAGATGGTGAGTGCTCCCCAAAAAAGAGAAAATAGAGCAGGGATGGGGAATCGGGGCACCAGGGTGTCAGGGAGACAGGTGGCAATTTTAAATAAGGTGGACTATTAGGACAGGCCTCTCGAGAAGGTGGCATTTGAGCAAAGGCTTGAAAGAAGTGAGGGAGTGGTCCACACAGGGACCTGGAAAAGAGAGCTTCAGGCAGAGGGAACAGCCAGTGCTAAGGCTCTAAGCATGTTGGATATACTCAAAAGACAGAAAGGAAGCCAGCGTGTCTGGAGCAGGGCGGTCAGGAGTAGACAAGGAGGATAGGAGCAGAAAGGGTTGTGCACAGTATTTTTTTTTTTTTTTTTTTTTGGATACAGGGTCTCACTGTGTTGCCCAAGCTGGAGTTCAGTGGTGCAATCTTGGCTCGATGCAACCTCCACCTCCCAGGTTCAAGTGATTTTCCTACCTTAGCTTCCCAAGTAGCTGGGACTACAGGCATGCACCACCATGTCTGGTTATTTTTTGTTTTTCGTTTTTAGTTTTTGGGTTTTTTTGAGCTGGACTTTCGCTCTTGTTGCCCAGGCTAGAGTGCAGTGGCATAATCTCAGCTCACTGCAACCTCCGCCTCCCAAGTTCAAGCGATTCTCTTGCCTCAGTCTCCGAAGTATCTGGGAGTACAGGTAAACGCCATCACGCCCAACTAATTTTTGTATTTTTAGTAAAGATGGAGTTTCACCATGTTGGTCAGGCTAGTCTCGAACTCCAGACCTCAGGTGTTCCGCCCGCCTCAGCCTCCCAAAGTGCTGGGATTACAGGCATGAGTCACCATGCCTGGCCTGTATTTTTAATAGAGACGGGGTTTCACCTGTTGGCCAGGTGAACTCCTGACTTCAGGTGATCCACCCACCTTGGCCTCCCAAAGTGCTGGGATTATGGATGTGAGCCACCACGCCTGGCCAGCTTCTCCACAGGATCTTTTAATCCACACTCCCAGGCCAAGGGGTCCATGAATGAGTTCAAGGACTCCTTGAACTAGGATGGGAAAATTACATGTTTATTTTCAGTAATCTCAAACTGACAGTTAGCATTTTCTTCAATTATGAATGTAGGCGATAAAGTAGGGTAACGTTTAGCAGCGCCTGCAATATTGTCACCACAAGGAATCAGATATTTTCATCACTTCACAGTTGTTACAGTTGCCTCAAAATATCATGCACACTCATCACGATTCCAACATGACAGTTGTTATGGGACCAGCCACCAGGCCGTGTTATATAAGGGGTTAACACAGAAACATAAATATTATTATATAATGCCGTACTTCAATACGATTGGCTTTTGTTCTAACCTAAAAATCCTATGATTTTATTTTATTCAATTAAAAACATTATTCTGAGAAGGGCCCACAGGCTCCCCCGAAACTTGGGTCTTGATTCAAGCAAGGTTAGGACCCTGCTAACCTAACCTCGCTTGAGTTAAGACCCAAGTCTGGGGCCTGCCAGAGGCCAGTTCTGACACCCAGGCATGGCAGGAGAGATGCAATGGCCTGAGGCCATTGTGAGGAATCTGGCGTTTTCCTGGAGGGACCTAGGAGCTGCTGCAGGCTTCTGAGCAGAGAAGTGGGGAGATGTATCTTGTTGCTGCCCCCATCAGCTCTCATCTGTGGGTCTCCTCTTAGGTGGGGGAGGCAGTACACAGGCAAGTGCAGCATGGACAAGTTGGGGGGCCAGGCCTAAGAGTTTGAAAGGCAAGGGCAGGGTGGGAGAGAGCTCATCCTTCACCCCTCGCATGTCTCCTGCCATGCCTGGGTGTCAGAACCGGCCTCTGGCAGGCCCCAGACTTGGGTCTCTTGTCCCTGGGAACTGAAGGCTGGGCCGGGGGCTCTCCAGAGGTACATCTAAGACAGGGCAGACACTGAGAGGAGGCAGTAAGGGAACCATGAGCCAGGCTTGCTGCAAGGAGCCAGGGATGACCCTCAGAGACTCACTCTGGTGGAAATAACAGCAGTAACAGCAGCCAATTATTAGCATCACCTCTGTGCCAGGCACTCTTTTAGAGCTTTACATGCATTAGATATTAATCCCTATGAATTCCAATGAGATAGGTCCTAGTACCTTCCAGTACCCTCACTTTTAAGAAAAGAAATCAGGCACAGAGACTGTAAGTAACTTGCCCAGTCACACAGCTAGGAAGTAGCAATCCTGGCTTCTGAAAAGTGGCGGGTGGAGGACAGATGGATTCCCCAGAGGCAGGAGGCACTGAGGGGCTAGGCAATTCTTCCTGCCTGGGGAAGGAGGATGGAGGCAGGTTGTATCAAACTTCTAGTTCATTTCCCTGTTGGGAAAACTGAGGACCAGTGAGGGTCAGGTCACACAGCCAGTTAGTGGGACTGCCAGCACTAGAACCTTGGTCTCCTGACTCCCTGCATTTTTGTCCCTCCTGGCCTCACTCCTCCCCACAAAGGAGAAGGAGGTTGGGGGCAGGGACAGCCTCAGAAGCAACCTACAATTAATTCTATGCATTTACACCCTCCTCCAAACCCTGTGGCCCCAAACCATGACCTATGACAGTGCTTGAAAGCTCACTATTAGCAGGCAATTGTTTAAGGTGTTGTGCTAAGTATGGGAACATGCATGATATCACTCAGTCTTCCCAGCCCTCTCCCCCAAATATATGAGAAAGTTGCCTTAGAGAGGTAAAGAAGACACATGCACAAAGTCACATAGCTGGGAATGGCAAAGTTGGGGTTTGATCGCATGTCTGGTTGATTCCAAAATCCATCCCTTTATAACAGCACCCATCACTTAACAGAGCACTTTCTATGTGCCAGGTGCTATTATAGGTGATTGACTTGGATACATTTGCTGAATCCTTACAATGACCCTGTTGGGGAGGCACCAATGTTCTCAATTTACAGGTGTGGACAACTGAGGCATGAGAGGTTAAGCACCTAGCACGGGATTACCCAGCTGGCCAGTGGTAGAGCTGAGATGGAAGCCTGGGCAGTCTGGTCATAGAGTCTGGGCCCTGGACCCACACACTGTCCTGCTGCCCTCTGGGTCTGGAATGATCTCCAAATGCCCAATGAAACCACCATCACTCCTAGAGGTAAGCTATTTTTCTTCATTAATAGTTCACATGCCATTAAAGGCCCAGGCTATTTAGAGGCTTGACAATGGGGACTGCCCTCTATACAATTAAGGCCCTTCAGGATTGGTGAGAGGGAAGGAAACTCACCTGCTAAGCTCTTACTACATGCCAGGCAGTTAACATATGCCTATGTCTTCTAAAGAGTCCAGGAATTCTGCAGGGTAGGAATGTAAAATCCCCATTTCCAGATGAGGACATTGAGGCACAGAGAGGTAAAGTGGCTTGTCCAAGGTCACTCAGCCAGTAAGTAGCCAAGATGAGAATTGAACCCAGGACTATATGACTGTGGAGCCCATGCCCTTTCTGCCAGGCTACACTGTTTCTAGAATCCACCATGGGCCCCTGGTTAGGGGAAAGACCCTGGCATGGGAGACAGAAGGATGCCCAGGTTACCTTGGCCAGAGGCTTGGTCAAAAGTGGGGCTGCAGCAGATAGTCTCATCTCTGACAATGAGGCCACCTCAGCCCTGAGCTCAGGCCACATAGGAAATATTTCATGTCATAAAGAACAGGAGGGTCCCTCATGATATGGTTATGGGAGGTGGCACCTCCCTGCCCCCTGTCAGGTCCCAGCCACTGGAGCCTGCTTCCTGAGGTTCTAGGTGGGAGGAGGTTCTAGAATCTGAAGGGCAGTCTGCTTCATCTCCAAAGCCCCCTTCCCCAGGCTTCTTGCATGAGGCCTGGGATGCAGTAGGTACTCTGTAAGCTTGTGCAGAATTTGTGGATGATTCCAGTATGACCCGGATTAACTCTGGCCCCTCCTTTCCCTAGTATTTTAATACCATCATAACAGCCGTGGGTGGTGGCTCACGCCTGTAATCCCAGCACTTTGGGAGGCTGAGGTGGGTGGATCACTTGAGATCAGGAGTTTGAGACCAGCCTGGCCAACATAGTGAAACCCTGTCTCTACCAAAAATATTTAAAAAATAGCCAGTGTGGTGGCGTGCACCTGTAGTCCCAGCTACTTGAGAGGCTGAGGCAGGAGAACTGCTTGAACCCGGGAGGCAAAGGTTGCAGTGAGCCGAGATTGTGCCTCTATACTCCAGCCTGGGCGACAGAGCAAGACTCTGTCTCAAAAAAAAAAAAAAAAATCATAGCACGCATTATTAACAGAGCCTTGACCCCTCACCCAACACTGCCGTCAGTACTCTTTGTGCATCATATCACATTTCATTCTCACAATAGCCCTCCAAGGAAGTTGCTGCATTCACCCTATCTTACAGATTATAAAGCTGAGGCTTTGGAGAGGTAAAGTAACCTACCCACAGCTCCACAGTGAGTCAGTGGGCAATATGATTGGTGGGCCACCTTCAAAAGCATCACCTGGTCGCTTGTTGGAAAAGCAGCATCTTGGACCCCATCCCAGACCCACTGGATCAGAACCCTTGGGGTAGAATCCAGCAGCCTGGATTTTAACCAGTATCATCCAGGGATTCTAATGCACGCTCAAGTTTGAGTAGTGCCAGTCTGTAACACTGAGTTCCTAAGTTATACCCCTTCTTCAACAACCCTATCAGCAACGCTGAGAAGGGGTTGGGATTGGAAGTAGCTGTTGTTATTTTCATTATCCCGCTTTCCAGATGATGAAATGAGCCTAGACCAAGACTCGAACCCAGGTCTTTGGGTTCCAAGGCCCTTTCTCTTCATGGAATCTGTTTTTCCATCTGGAAAATGAGCGAATGGAACAAAAGGATCTTCCAGGAAGAAGAGGAGTCAGAGGGTCAGGCAGCGGTGCTGCTTAGGCCCCAGCAGGACCCGTCTCTGGGTCCTGGCCAGGGTGCTGAATCCGTGTCCCAGACACTGGCCAGTGGGAGATTGCGCCCCTAGAGGCGCCCCTGTTTGAGGGGTGCAGTTCACAGCCTCACCCCCAGGAAGCGGGAACCCTGAGACTCCAGCATAAGACTGGATTTCCAACGACCCCTCAGCTCCTCTAGTTCTAGAAGCATTTTAGGGGCTACTCTGTGCCTTTAAGAGCAAAACAGGTCTCTGTTTCGCTCTTAAAGGCACAGAGTGGCCCCAGCCCCTAAAATGGCTCAGGGGCTGAGCCGAGCTGGTGTGAGTGAGGGGATGGTTTAACTCTTTCCTTCTCAGCTCAAGACACGGAATTAGGGGCGGGCGACGACTGGGGACAGACCTTCCAAACCCCAGCCAGAGGAAGGCCCGCAGCCGGGACAGAGGGGCAGAGGAGCTGTGACCTGTGTGTGTTGAGGGTGGGGGGAGCTGCAGTATCCGGGATGGCAGGCAGCGTGCAGGGAGGGACTGAGGGGGGCTGCCGGGGCTGGACCTCAGGAAGCGCTTCTTCTCCCTCCCCGCAGCAGCAGCACTCCCACCCCACCAGGCCGCCTTCCCAGCAGTGCCCATTCCCTTCCCCTTGCCTTTGTCTCTTTTCTCAGCTCCCCTCACCCCGCACCCCAACAGACCGGCTATTTCTGGGAAGAAAAGAGGCAGAAAGGATGCTCCTAAATTGAGAACTGTGCTCCTGGGGCCCAGGCAGGGCTGGTCGCCTTCCAGGTGAGCAGCCCTAGAAGGAACCCCTGGTCCCCCGACCTCCGGGACCTCCAAACCCCAGGTTCCCCACTCCAGTCTCTCGCCTCGCTCAGACCCCTCAAGCCCTGGTGCTCCCCTCCCCAAGCCTCCCGGCCACCGGCGCAAGCGGCTCCCGGCCCGGCTCTACCTTCTGCGAGCTGAAGGACTGGGTCCAGTGGTACAGAACCAGGCTCTCCCTGGGCCAATGGGCGGGGCTGGCCGCCTCGGGCGCGTCGGGGGCCTCTGCCGGCTTGGCCGCATCGCTCTCCAGCGCGGAGATGGGCCACCAGCTGCAGTTGGTGGGGGTCAGGTTGTTGGGGGTCGCCATGACAGCCCGGAATCAGAGGCAGGAAAGAAGGAGGCTCCGGCGCGGCGGCTCTCTCTCGCCCAGCATCACATGGCCTCGCCGAGCCTGCCCCTCTCCTCCCTCCCTCCCCGCTCCGTGAATGTCATTACTCACCGGGCAGGTGGGGGAGGGGGCGAGGGGATCCCGGGAGCTCCTTCCTCCTCCTCCCCCTGGCCCGCCAGAAAAGCCACCAGCCCTCAGTGTCAGGCTCCCCGCAAGAGTGGAAGCAGCCCGAGGAAGTGGGCCGTGCCCCCCAAACAGCTCAGCACATCGCCCAGGCACCTGCCAAAGATTCCACCATCATCAACGCTTTCCTGCCTCTCAGTCCACTAAGCAGCAAATACCTCTTAACTGGGATTCTAGAGATCTATTCATTTAGAAATTAGTGTCTGGAAACTGCTTGCCCCGCTTTGAAACTGTTATCTTCTAACTTTTCCCTTGAAAGGCCTCGAAGGGCAGAAGGAACAGACTATGATTTATTTAACAGATACTTCCATAGCACTTACGCTATGCCTAGCCACTGTTTTAAGGGCTTTACAACTATCAGCTTATTTAGCTGTCACAATAGTCCTATTAGCTTCATTTTACAGAGAAGGAAACTGAGGCACAGAGAGGCTAAGTGACCTTGCCCAAGGTCATCGAGCTCCTAGGTGGTGGTGCTAATGTGAACACAGGCGTCTGGCTCCAGAGTCTGTGCTCTTAGCCATAAGGTCATGATAACATGACAACACCATGAAGAACAGCACAGCAACCATTTATCAACCTGGGCCCCTTACATGCATCATCCCATTGCATCTGCACAATAATCATTTTTCACAGATGAGGAAGGCAAGGCTCAGAAATGTCAAGTCATTGGTTCAAGGTCACATCTTCTACCAAGGCACAACCAGATGAGCCCAAAGAAAGCCTTTGCCGTCACAAAGTCTGTCCTAAACATTCATGGAAACTTCAGCAAAGTTCCTTAATATGCCTATGGTCCTATTACTATAAATACGGTGTTTTAATTCATTTACCATTGAGGACATACAGAAGCAGACAACAGATGCAAATAGATGTACTAAGAAGATAAGCTCAGTCCTCCCTCTCATCCCCCACCACCCACCCCCATCCATCATGCTACTAAGGACTCCTGGGTATATCATCCCCCAGGCTATAAGCCTGGCTCAGAAGGAACTGGTATTCCTCCTTCTACCAGGTAACAAATGCTCTATGGCCCATGGGGTGTGGTGACACGTGCCTGTAGTCCTGGCTACTCAGGAGGTTGAGGTGGGAGGATTGCTTAAGCCTGGGAGGCAGAGGTGGCAGTGAGCTGAGATCATGCCACTGCACTACAGCCTGGGCAACAGAGAGAGACCCCATCTCAAAAAAAAAAAAAAAAAAAAAAGGAAATTAACAGTGTGGTTCATAAAATATTCAAATTTCTCCAGTTTTGCCAGGAATGTCTTTACAGGTGGTTTTAACCAGGATCCAATCAAGGACCACATAATGGATTTTGTTCCTGCATTCTTAAGTCTATTTTAATCTAATATGGTCCTTACTCTTTTTTTTTTGACCCCCCTCCCGCCATGACATTGACTCATGAGGAGACTGGGCCAATTGTCTTGGACAATGTTCCTCTCTGGGATCTGTCACGTTGCTTCGTTGTGGTGTCCTTGAACTTCCTGTACTCTCTCCTGTATTTCCTAAAAACTAGTACTTAGATCCAATGGATGGATTAGATTTAGGTGGAACATTTTGGGGGTGAGAAAGTAATTATATTTCATGAGCAGTGCTCTGTGCTCCATTTCCCCTCACATCATGTCTAACTACTAAGTACGCCAAGCTCGATCCTGGGGTTCAGGTGGCGACCACACCTTTCTAGGTAAATGTTCATTTCTCCTCTTCTGACCAGCACCTCGTGACTGTCCAGTTCCTCATTCACTGATGGTCCTTGACTGAAGCAGTTACTACCATTAGGAAATGGTGATTTTCTAATTTTGTCCTTTTGTTGGCATTTGTCAGCTGGTATTCTTTATGTGAATGTCATTAAATATGAGTGAAGTTCACCATTCCTTCAACTGTTTAAAAACTAGGCTGGGTGTGATGGCTCACACCTGTTATCCCAGCACTTCAGTAGGCTGAGGTGGGTGGATTATTTGGGATCAGGAGTTCGAGACCAGCCTGGGAAACATGCCAAAACCCTGTCTCTACTAAAAATACAAAAAATTAGCTAGCGGTTGTGTCATGCACCTGTAGTCCCAGCTACTGGGGAGGGTGAGATGGGAGGATTGCAGTGAGTTAAGATTGTGCCACTGCACTCTAGCTTGGGCAACTAGAGTGACACACATCTCAAAACAAACAAACAAATGAAAGCCAACTAAACTTCTTTCCTAGTGAATCGTCTGTGTTTCCATGAGGACCTGGACAATGACAGCACTGTGTGATAAATGCTGTGACTGGGATGGGAAAGGGGTGTGGTACAGCCAGAAGGGGACATCTAGATCCCCTGTCTAGGCACTGGTCATGCCAGGGAAGGCTATTCAGGGCAATGGCTCTCAGTATGGATTCCTCCCAAGCAGACCCCAAGGCAAGTATTCGTATTCAAGGGCACATAGTTAACTTTGGAGAAAAAGGACATCTTGCGAGGCAAGTTGTCTTCCAAGGAGATAGGAAAGACAGCCAAAGAAGGTATACTGCCAAGCAAGTTACCACTGTGGGTGACCAGGGTTTAATCCCACAGGCAAATTTTGAGAGTCTCGTGAAGACCCTCAGCATTATGCTGCCCAAGGAGGGAGACAGTTGGGGTATTTATACACCAAGTCCTGTCAGTCATTGTTTGAGGGCTGCTTCTTGAGAGAAGTTTTAATTTCCTGGCACTTCAGGCCTGCCCTGCAGTTGGCAGAGTGGGTCCCAGTGGCCACAGAAAGCCCTCAGGCAATAAACATGGGTGCTGCCAGCTAGGGGGCCAGCTGCTCAGAGACTTGAAGCAGAGGCTTGTGGGTTGAGGGAGACATAGCCAGCCGGGGAGGAGGTGGAAGGGATGCACACTCCAGGTGGAGACACAGGCCCAGAGGTGCTTAACGGGCTGATGGCCACCTATCTTCTGGAGGCAGAGTGGAGATGTGAGGCTGGGTGGTCCTGCCAGGCCACTTAGGACACCTGCAGGAGTCATCACCCTGTGCCAAGGGTACTGGGAAGTCCCTGAAGACTGGTTTTTTGTTTTTTGTTTGTTGTTTGAGATGGAGTCTCACTCTGTTGCCCAGGCAATGGTACCATCTTGGTTCACTGCAACTTCCACCTCCTGGGTTCAAACGATTCTCCTGCCTCAGTCTCCTGAATAGTTGGTATTACAGGTGCATCCCGCCATGCCTGGCTAATTTTGTATTTTTAGTATTTAGTATTGTATTTTTAGTAGAGACAGGGTTTCACGAAGTTGGCTAGGCTGGTCTTGAACTCCTGACCTCAGGTGATCCACCTGTCTCAGCCTCCTAAAGTGCTGGGATTACAGGTGTGAACCATTGCACCCAGCCCCCTAGAGAGTTTTAAGCAGGGAAATAATCGTCCAGTTTGGGTGTCAGAAATCCAAAAAGGCCTGAAGTCCGTATTCCTCACAGGGTGGACTATTCCTCCCCTTCTTCCATGATGCCTAGAAATGGATTCAGCCACCAAGAGTTTGCTGTTGAATGTGAACCCAGGGCACAATGAGATGGGGTGCCCTGGGGAACATCTCACCTGGACTTATACTTGCAGACTGTGTATTTAAAAAATCTGATAGCACATATGATCCTATGTTATCATGACATAATAACAGCCGGGACCATGTTCCATGTGCCCAATACCCCGCTAAGCACCACGCTGTCATTATCTCATTGAGGTGGATACTGCGATCACCTGATGTAAGGATGGATTGCTCAGGTGGCCCAGTCTGGGATTCCCCAGCCAGTGTCTCTCCTCCCTGAATGTGGCTGGGACACACGGCTGACTTCAGGCTCTCTGGGGCTGCCTTTGCAAGTTTTTCACTGACTCTCGCTGTCTCCTGTCTTTCTCCAGGCAGGGTTTAGTACAAAGATCTCAGGGATGTTTAGTGACTCACAGCCAGTCCTCCAGTGGGGTCTCATCTCGCGCAGAGGAAAACCAAAGTACTAACGACTTAAAGGTGCTCCCAGGTCTGGCCCCCGTCACACCTCCCCATCTCCTTCTGCCCTCCCTCACTGCCTCAGCCCATCAGCCTCCTGACTCTTCCCTAGAGGCAGCGGGTGGCCCCTCGACCTTGCTGAGGGTCTCTTCACTTGCTGTTCCCACTGTCTGCCATGCTCTTTTTCTGTTTGTTTTTTCCCCCCAAGCTCTCTCCCTCACCACCTTCATAGCTCTGCTCATGTAAACGCCACCTTAGAATGAGCTAAACTTTTCCTGCCTGCCCACGTAAATGAGGTAGCTACTCTGACCCAGCACTCCTCTCTGTGACTATTTTTCTCCAAAGCACTTATCAGCAGGAGTCTGCCATGCAGTTTTTTGTTTGTTTGTTTTGTTTTGAGATGGAGTTTCGCTCTTGTCACCCAGGCTGGAGTGATGGCTAGATCTTGGCTCACCACAACCTCTGCCTCCCGGGTTCAAATGATTCTCCTGCCTCAGCCTCCCAAATGGTTGGGACTACAGGCGTGCGCCACCTCGCCCAGCTAATTTTTTCTTTTTTTTTTTTTATTGGAGATGGGGTTTCTCCATGTTGGTCAGGCTGGTCTCGAATTCCTGACCTCAAGTGATTTGCCCACCTCGGCCTCCCAAAGTGCTGAGATTACAGGCATGAGCCACCGCACCTGGCCTGCCATATAGTTATTATTTCTTTCCCCAATAGGGATATAAGCTCCATAGGGTAAGGACTTGGTAATGATCACCTCTGCCTTCAGCTCCTGGCCCAGAGCCTGACACAGAATAGGTGCCCAGTGTTAAATAAGTCAATCAATGAATGACCGCTGGCCTGCTCCCAGTGGTGGCCTCTGGTCAGCCTGACAGAAGTTTGTCGTGACCCTCAAGTCTCTGTGCCACACTTTTACGCAGCCTCTCAATTCTCTTTTCCAGAACTCTAATCTCGTTCCCTGGGTGTCGTTTTAAGTCCCAGGGGTGACATTATTTCCAAGGTCTTTGAAGGGCAGTGCTGCTCTCCACCATTTTCCCTTCCCCCCCCAAAACACTTCAAATCCTGCTTGGACTAAAAGAGTAGGGGAAGGGCTGACAGATATGACACACAAAGCTTAAAAAATTTTGTACCACAAAAATTACAAAATCAAGTTAAA